CTTTCTTTAGGCCCTCTGCTCCGCGCTTGAATACACCCTTATCCACTCCTGTGAGTTGCTTTTAAGTTATTTTTTTATAATTTTACCATTAAAATCTTATGCTAGCTGCATCCCACGAGTGTTTAGTTGGCCGATTGTTATTTCGAAGAGGAAGCTGATGGTATTTTAAATACTCTGAGTGCTTGCACTACTTCTACTGTATCGGGTATCATCTATGCGGGTTCTAATTATTTCATTCTTGATACTAGAAACGGAAAAGACTTTGTTCTTTTACCACAATCGTTGAACTCTTGCGGTGAGTTAGATCCTGTTTTTTATTCTTTCTGCTTGAAAATCAATATTTGGAATCAGTTTAAGATTACTGGTTTTTGACATCTCATATTTTATTGTGTTTTTAAAACACGAAACAACTACTCATTCTAGAACTGAGAACCCGATCGAAACGAGAAGGTAAAACCGTTAAGAACACGTTACCTTCGTACTATTCTGAATATAACGATGGAAGATGGAGATACGTCGAGTTGGCACTTGTTGCAGACTACTCTTTGGTAGGATTTCTGTTTGCTTAGACCTGTTACCTCTTATACAGCTCTTATGTCGTAGTTTTTATTATCAGTTTTGGTGCTACTTACAGCCGCACAGTCTATTTCCATCATTTATGGCAATATTTTTTAAAGTAATAATGAAAATAGTGATCTTAGGGCTATACTAGGATGGAATGCTCTTGAGTGTTTTTTCCTTGATAGTTCCCACTGTGATCAATAACCGTTCCCCTTATTTTATACGTTTTTTTTTTGAATTATCCAATCTGTTCAGGAGGAATCAGTTCAGCGTGTTCTTAATTGAAAACGCAATTCTATAGTTCCTCTTTCTTCTAATAAAATCTCTGTATGTGAACAATCAGTTATCTTTTAATTATGTTGGAGAGCTTGCTTTTTTTGTTACATCTATCCGCCAATTTTTATATCTCGGGAGTTTTATGCTAAGATTCTATTTTTTTTATCAACCTCTAGTGCTAGAAATGGACAGATTCGGCTATTCAGTCTCTGTTTTCAGTACGCCAAGTACGGTAAGGATGAAGCGAAGGTTATGGAACGTCTACAAACTATCGCCCATCATGTTAATGCGGTACGTATCAGAGCTCTGATTTTATTTACTAATTTTTGTTATATTCTATTTCTAGCTCTACTATCCTCTTAATATACGCGTTACCCTAGTTTGGGTGGATGTGTGGAAAGACGGCGACAAGTTTGAAGTTGCAACAAGTGGCGATCGCACTTTAGACCTGTTTCTTAACTACAGGAAGCAGATAATGAAAGCTCATCCAAACGATAACGCTCATATGATCACGTTTGTTTTTCTTTTTAAATGGAATTGAGCTTCATCCTTCCAGTTTACAAAGCTGTTTAGTGATATTCGATTCGAGGCTAATGTTGTTGGCAAAGCTTTCAAAGGGACCATGTGTTCATATGATTACTCCGGCGGAGTTGACGTGGTAAGCGAATTGTGTCCTCCTTTCTAACAGTCGTAATATTTTATATTTCAAATTACCTCTTCTTTATACTAGGACCATAGCAATAATTCCGCCATTGTTGCTGCAACAGTTGCTCATGAGATGGGCCACAATTTTGGCATGGAACACGATGTGGATTATGGAACCACATGTAATTGTCCAGGAAATCACTGTGTCATGGCTCCCTCTACTGGGTTGGTTCCTAACTCAGGCTGTTTTCGTTCGTATCTATTGCACTCATATGCTGAGTTTATTTGATCAGAATAGCAATTTGCAATGCTTCATTGTTAAAGGCA